GCCCCACCCCCAACGTGCCCGACGTGATTGCGTCACTTCCGGGTGACGTGCTGACGCCGGGCATGTCATGTGCTTTGGGGGTGGGGTTCCCCCCGGGGCCTGATCTGCCGGCGGCGGTTAATAGGCCTCTTGGGCAGGGGTTTCCCCACCCCCCGGGGGGACTTGGCAAGCCTATGCAGGTTAGATCTCAACAACCGGAACAGTTCTGCTGGCCTACACTGCACAGACACAATGGTGGCTGAACAGTGCTATTGCTTTGTATAGGGCTCTTTTTGTAGAAAAAGGCCAGCAGGAACTCATTAGTATAATAGGCCACACCCAACAGCAGGGACTCATTAGCATATTAGGCCACATCCCTGACAGCACAGCTCATTAGCATATTAGGCCGCACCCCCATGTTACCAGAAGTGTGGTCATCCAGCCACACCCACCTTTTGCTTCTTATTCTGTTTACCTTGTTTGTTGTCAGAACCCAGGGCCTTTTTTTGTAGCAGGAACTCCTTTGCATGTTAGGCCACATACCCCTAATGTAGCCAATCCTAATGAGTTTCTGTTGTTGGGTGTGGCCTATTATGCTAATGAGTTCCTGATGGGCGTGGCCAACTTGGGAGCCAGCCGGAACTCCATTCCTATGCGTTCCTGCCCAAAAATAGCCCTGGCTTTGTCACTATCACTGCCATGGAGTATGGTTTAAAATGGAGCTTTCCCCGGTGTCGTATCTGATTCATCCCAGGTCTTCCTGCACTGTGGCTCCTTTATCTTTTCATCTCCTCCAGCCCCTCCATAAGCCTAGGAGCTACTTGGCCTCTAACTGTTGAGAGAGGGTGCCTCGTTGGCCCTCCCAGGAAACTGACTGGCCACTTTTTGAAACAGGATGCTGGACGAGATGGGCCGCTGGTCTGATCCAGCAGACCTGTTCTTATGTGTGGTCTGAATTTGTGTTGTCTTGATGAAGCTCAGTGGGTCTGGATCCAGTCACTGCCTGGTTGGGAGACCTACAGGGTTCCCTGTGTAGGGTGTCTTGAGTTCCATCGTAGAAGAGAATTGAGATGTAAAAGCACTAAAGGAATGGCTATGCTTATTTTCCACTTTACGTGGGATCTCCAGGGTACAGGAAACAAATATCGTTTGGGAAGAAGGAGGGAAAGAACACTTTCTACTTTTTCGTTTCTTGCAAATGTGTGAGCCAGTAGTTAGTGGGTAGCAGCCCCCAGAAAGCAGAGTGCATTCAAAAGGCTGGGGATGGGAAGTTCAAAGAGCATGTGGATCTTTTGGCATCTTTTCATGGGCTTCTTTGGATGAAGCACTAAATTGTCCAGTAAAAAAAAACGTTCTGTAATGGCTTTTGTTCAGTTACATCTGTGGGCTTGTTCCTTGTGGAGGCCATGTGGGCAAACACATTCCAAGATCTCTTCCAGCCTTTTTAAAAAAAAAATCTTTAGGGGGGCAGGCATAAGTCCAATTTGCGCTGGTGTGGGTTGGCGTGGCTTTCATGTTGACAACTGGTTTTAATTACCAAACTACATAAACTTTTCCTGAACCCAGAGGATGGCTGTAAGTAGGTTCAGCCTTGCCTTGATGTGTGTTCCCTGCTTGGCAAACAACCTCCCGCCATTGCTTTGTCTCATCGGGGGACTGGATACAACAGAAAAATATGTGGTATTTAGATATAGCCAAGGGGGACGCCAGTTTTTTTGACTGGTGCTT